TCCTCTATGCCCTCAGGTTGGGTATATGCCCCTCCTTGTGCTTTTATAGCACCCAAAGAAATAGCTCTGTCATTTCATGTATTATATTATATTTAAATGATTTGTTTATATTGTCTGTCTCTTCTCAGTAGACTCGAATGCTGTATTTGTTCACTTTTGTACCCCCAGCATCTAGCACAGTACCCAGTACACAAAGGTATTCAGTAAGTGTTTCCGACCACAAGTAAACCAGGGCTTCAGATTCCTAATTCTTAGTCATTACTTCCAATTTTCCAAGGCAAAGTCAAAGTTCCTAAGTTCTTAGCTATTAAATAGTATTTTCTTAACTTGCAAAAAGAAAAATCTGACAAACTGACTAGTCTAAACGGAACTTAAAATGGTTGATCCCAGTTTGAATTTCTTCCTGACACTGGTGAGAGCAGAACGAATGTCCTAAATTTATATTTGAGCACCTGTTTGTGGCAAAAACATCATGCTGCAGATCTTTAAGAACATATTATTATTTGAAAACAACACACTAGAATGTAAACTAGGATCTCACTAGAATGTAAGCACCTGAGGGCAGGAACTCTGAAGGTTTTTTTCTTTTTTAATTACTGTATCCCCATTGCTAAGAACAGTGACTGGCCCATAGTAGGTGCTCAAGAAATACTTGTGAAAATTAGTGAATCCAAAATCAATTGCTGCACACATTCTTCCTTTAAGAAAAATGTTTTTGGAAGCAACCTAAGGGTCCATCATCAGATGAATGGATAAAGATGATGTGGCACATGTGTACAATGGAATTTTACTCAGCCATAAAAGGAAACGAAATTGAGTTATTTGTAGCAAGGTGGATGGACCTAGAGACTGTCATACAGAGTGAAGTAAGTCAGAAAGAGAAAAACAAATACCGTATGCTGACACATATATATGAAATCCAAAAAAAAAAAAGAAGGTTCTGAAGAACCTAGGGGCAGGACAGGAATAAAGACGCAGACATAGAGAATGGACTTGAGGACACAGGGAGGGGGAAGGGGAAGCTGGTACAAAGTGAGAGAGTGGCATGGACATATATACGCTACCAAACATAAAACAGATAGCTAGTGGGAAGCAGCCGCATAGCACAGGGAGATCAGCTCGGTGCTTTGTGACCACCTAGAGGGGTGGGGTAGGGAGGGTGGGAGGGAGATGCAAGAGGGAGGAGATATGGGGATATATGTATACGTATAGCTGATTCACTTTGTTATACAGCAGAAACTAACCATTGTAAAGCAATTATACTCCAATAAAGATGTTAAAAAAATAAAAGAAGAAAGAAAAATGTTTTGCTTGGTGTGAGAATTGAGCCTTTATGATTCTGCCAACATTGACACTTTGGTTTGTGTTTAGGCACTTGCTGCTGGAGGAGTGGGGTCCATTGTTCGAGTCTTGACTGCAAGGAAAACCGTGTAGGCCGGCGGGAACGGATATCTCCCATGGGGTGGGAGTTGCTGGTACAAAGACCAAAACAACCAAATGCCACCGCTGCCCTTTGGGTAGCATCTGTTTCTCTCAGCTTTGCCTTCTTGTTTCCTTTTCATATCTATAAAGAAGAAAATTACATATCAGTTTTTCTTTAATGAAATTGGGATAAAGTAGAAGAAATGTTTCAACAGGAATGTCTCATTCTCTCAAAATGATTTCAGTGATGTGTATACCAGTCTGTACATAGCGTAATTTACATTCAAGTTTAATTGTGCAATTGTTAACCCCTATTGGCTGGTGTGGGGGGTTTTTTTGTTGTTTGGTTTTTGGGAGCGGTTTTTTGGTTTTGTTTTTGACTAATAGTGAGAAATTTAATCAGAATTTGAGGCCGGTTTCCTAACTCATTGCTAGCCAGGAAATGATCTTTATAAAAAATTTTTGAGAGACTGGCAGCTATTAACATTGCAAAACTGGACTATACTTCCCTTATTTAAACGAAATGTGTTTCTGGAACAAGTGGTGGCTGAACACCACAACCAAGTTCCAACTCTGTTTCTGCTTGCCACCAGATTATGTGAGTTTAAGTACGCTTCTTCCTCTCAGCATCCAGTAATCGTGGCCTCTTGATTTCTTTGTGGTCACCCAGGGTACAGAGCAAGGAATCTTGCTCTACACAACTGTATCTGTAAAATGCCAGACCCTGTTTGGCATGAGCATAAAATTTTTTTTCTAATAATATGGCCCTATTTGGGGAAACTACTCCAAATCAGGAAGGATGTGGAAACTATGATGTAGTTGAAACTCTGGGCAGCCTCTGAATGAAATGCTATTTTCTTTAGAATTATAGTAGCTGCCTTCGACATTATGAGGTATATAACTAGTATTTAATATGTCCTATAAATGTCTTCAGTGTTCTTCAGGGTAATTATTGGGATCTCAAAAGATTTGGTTAGGATCCAAACACATACACATTCTGTATTTTAGCTCAGTGTTTTTTTTAAAAAAAGAAAATGCCACACATCAAAAAGTATTCACTTTGTTGGACAGACCAAATTGGTTCTCAAAAAATGACCGGTGCTTATGTAAAAATAATTATTCGGTAGCTCTAAAACAAATCACCTGAATGCTTATGACCATGAGGGAAATCAGACTGTATCTAGTATTTACATTAGACACCAGTGTCATAATCACTGACTTGTGTGGAAACTGGTGCAGAAATTCTGTAAACTCTTTGCTGTTTTTGATACCTGCTTTTTGTTCTGTTTTGTAAAAATGATAAACTTCAGAAAATAAAATGTCAGTGTTGAATAATTTATTTTTCTCTTACTTTAATACTTATGAATGCATAGTTAATGAAGAGGAAAGAGTTCCTGTTTTACCACCAGGTTATTATACTCTTTGACAACTAATTTTGTGTAGAAGGTTTATAAAACTACTTTATTCAAACATAAGGTAGTAGAGACGAGGAGAGTCATTAATATATTAATAATGAAGCCTCTGCAGTGATTCCGTAGCCCTCTGGATGTCCGCCGAACACCTGTAGTGTCACTGCTCAGAGACCTAGACTAGATTGTGCCAATGAGTCCAGCAGCTGCAGTCGTTTATTCCCAGCTTCTGAACTCTCTCTTACACCTCACATCTACTGTCCTTACCTACTCAAGGCAACCTCTGATTGCCTTCCCACTGCACCTGGCTAGATCCCCACTTTAAAGCTTTAGAAACTTGCAGGCAATTCAGAGGGCTATGAGTAAGAAAAGCTAAGCTATAGGTATTAGAGGTGGTCAAATAGGTATAACATAACCACATACAAACTTTAAAATGAAAACAGAAGTGATATTGCAGTACCTTTTCATAAAATTCGTCTTAACATCACTTTCATGACTATAGTGTTGGGGAAAATTCCGGAATTCCATATTTTATAGTCACAGGAATGGGTGTATTCGAAATTTGCCAACAGCTTTACTCAACGGAGATAATTAAAATATGTAACAGAACAGCACAGGGGCTGAGTCAGAACGGACACCAGCTGGAAACAAGTGGCTCAAATGATGCATCTCGGCTAAATGTCAGCCCAGGTGATACTAACTGTGACACCGCACCGTCGTGGTGGAGAGAGGGAGTATAGTCAGCATGAATTGTGGAAAACAGATGTAAATGCTAAGGGACACTCTGGACACCCATTCCTTTCTACTTGAATCTCAGTGGTTTGTTTTTAACTACTGCTGTGTGTTTTGTTTTTGCCACTTTTAAAGGGGAAAAAAATGGCACACGTACCCTTTGTTGGTCACTCAATAACAGTACCGTTTAGGTAACTGTTATCGAATGTCATACTTGATAGTAAGTATGATGATGTGTTACAGCATTCCATCAACACACAGGTGAAATTCATCTGTAGATGGGACAAATTAACTGAATATTTTTTAAGCATGAACTGTGTTCCCCATGATCACAAAGGACATAGTGGAAAAGTAACTTTGATCTTGCTCACAAGTTGCTTTCAGCCTAATTGCGAAGTAATTAGTATTTGTAAGTGCAGTTAATCAGTGTTGAGGCAGTAGTGAAATCAGGGTGGACTGGAATAAACTGAGACAGATCAGTCAGAACTAGGTCGTGCACAGGCAGAAGGGGCAGGTCCAACTGAAATGGACAGAGTAGAAAGAAGAGAAAGTCGAAGTAGGTTTTTGGTTTTTTTTTTAGCGGTACGTGGGCCTCTCACTGTTGTGGCCTCTCCCGTCGCCGAGCACAGGCTCCAGACGCGCAGGCTCAGTGGCCATGGCTCATGGGCCCAGCAGCTCCGCGGCATGTGGGATCTTCCCGGACTGGGGCACGAACCCGCGTCCCCTGCATCGGCAGGCGGACTCTCAACCACTGCGCCACCAGGGGAGCCCCAAAGTAGGTTTAATTGTCACTGTCCTTATGGTTTTAATGTTTTTAACAAAGTTATAGACAGTGAAATTTATTAAGAGGATTAGGTTGTGGTAAAGTATCTCCAAGGGACATTTCAAGAAAGTCATGAGCTTTTTGATAAAAATTTTTAGCTGAAATAGACATTGATGGTCACTGAGTCTCACCCCTTTTACAGTAGTAAAAGAATGGGAAATTTAAATTTTATAAGAAAGAAAGTAATAAAGAGCTTCACTTATAAAAAATGGATATGAATAATTTTATCCTTTAAGTATTTTTGATCATTTCTTAAAACATCAGTTATGTTTAGTGTTCATTTAAAAGTAGTCTGAAACATTGAAACAATATCAGGAGTCCTGCATAGGTCCATGTGGCCCAGAGTTACCCAAGCTTATGAGATATAACACAAATAGATATAACACAAATAGCAGGAAACCAAAGGCATAGCACCCCCAGCGTGTGGTAGTAATAATGGCTTTTAATTTCCGAAGCAAGATTCTGAGAGTAGGTGGACTAAAACACGAAAGCCACCCTTTATTGAGTACTTAACTATGTGTCAGTCTTATCATACTTTATCTTCAGAACTGAAGCTTAGAGAATATGCAGAAGACACACAGTTTGCAGGAAATGAATTCCAACTCACATCTGCCTGACTCCAAGGTTGTACCACACTTGTCTCTCAACTCTGGTGATTGGGGAGCACAGGTGTTTCCAGGACAGATGAGCATCGGGCTTTCTCTAGGAATCTCTAATCTTGATGCTTGAGCGTTACTCTTGAGAGGTAGAATCCACTCCGGAGCCCTTAAATGAAGCAAAAGTTGACAAGCAGAGAAGTCAAAAGAAAGATTTGGAGAAGGGCTGCTACGCTAGAGGCATACTCAGTAGCACAGAAAGCGTAGCGTTGCTATTTTTATATCATGAGCTTTACTTGCCTTTTGATGGTTACTAAAGTGTAAGGTAGAGGCCAATTCCCAAAACATACATAACTCCACTACAAGAAAGTGACTGAGGGTTGGGTTTCTCAAAGCATGCAGTTTCTCTTGTGCCTTGCCGTTTACCCAGTATTTTTAATAGGTTCCTCTTTTCCATGTTTTCATAGATGATGTCTTTTAACTAATGAAGTTCTGTTTTCATTAGTTTTTGTCATAATTCCATTTAGCAAGAACCAGAGCTGCAATCTCTCATTTCATTAGCCAAGTTAAAGAGTTTATTGGTCATAAACTAAAAATTATCTGCTTAATTGATCCTAGGAATCACTTTGGCCACCTTCAATATAATTGCCTGGTGTTCCATTTTGGAGGTACCCCAAATTGGAAGCTTATTTCTGTCCACGCTTCTGGAGTGCCCTCACATCCCAGTTTCAAAGCCAGTTGAAGATTAGTTTTGAGGAGAAATCCTGGGAAATGGGAAATTCCTGAGATAACTCTGGGTGTGAGGAAATCAGGATCAAAATCACAGACTGCATGGATAAGGAACCAACCCACCATTCACCAGGCACCAACCCAATAGCAAATATTTGACTGTGTTCCTCGTGCATGGCGCCATCACATGTTGGCCAGCCTTGGGTTGGGTTTGGATAAATTCTAACCTGCTGTTGTCTTCTCCACCCTTCCCACTTGTGGTTTTCCTTTGCCTTGTATCCTTTCCTTTCCCTAATTCTTTTCTTCTCTATTTTATTTTTCTCTTTCTTCAGTCCCTGCATCTACTGCCTTCCTTCCCTCTCTTTCCTCTCTCTACCCTCCTGCCTCATTTTTCCAATTAGTTTATCTTACACTCATGCTCAGGCACTCAATCATTTCTACTAATTAAATATGTGGTTCTCAGGCAGATTAAGTAATGCCCTCCCACAATTCCCCAAATGACTCAAAATATTTGAATTGCTTATTTCTAAACTGCAAAAATGCTGATTTTTATTTCCATAGATTGCTTTGGCCAGCAGTTGAACAAATAACCCGAAATCTAGGACCAATTTTTAAATACGTTATTTTCCCTTTCGATTTACGAATAACTTAACCTTATAGACAAAAGGAGTACAAAAGAGCACCAAAGTGATTAGGAATGGGAAGGTAAGCCCAATTAAAAAACAAATTAAATGAGCTCAGAACACTTTAGAAACGAGTGCTCTAAAAGAAGGCTTCTTTTGTCCGTATCCCTGCCATGGATTTTTGCCCCCCCACCCCGCCTCTCCACCTCAGCCCAACATCACTGACAGAATAGGTGAAAACCCCAGCATTAAAATGTCCTGTGTACTAAAATGCAGTTGCCTCTTATACCAGCCCGTCAAGCTACAGAAGCCTGGGACGCATAGAAATACGGCATCTCATCAGCCTCAAGGTGGTGCTACTTCCCCACATTGATGAACCACAAGCACCAGAGGACCCAGAGTTCACGCTTACATTTCCTTTTTCCTTCATCATTTATGTTACTTGTATGTTTAAAGAGAATAAGCATAAATTATCTATGTTTTCATCTCTTTCACTATGAGACAGTTGTGTAAAGGCCGGATACATGAAATACAAATTGAATGGTATGTGACTCACCTACTGAATTCCACAGTCCAGCTTTCTAAGACTTAACACATTTTCCAGCTGAGCATTTAGCTAATGTTTCCCAGGACACCCTCTTGACCTTCCTATGAGTCTTCCAGAAGACTCTATGGCCTTCCTGGTGTCATAGTAGCCATGTCTTACTCATTCTCCACAATCCCTTGACATAGTTGATGCTCAGCAGATATCTATTAGTTGCATAATATTGATTGAGCCAAATCATCTGACTAAGATATCTCCAAGTTCTATGGAATAGGAGAACATATTAGAAGCAAAAATTTGAGAGCTATGCAGAGAGTAAAATCCTCCTTAGGTTCAAATAGCCTAGATCCAATCAAGTTTAGTCACAAATTCAATTCACTTCAATGTGGACATTTAGGCAGAAAATTTATCAGCCTTATGTGGAAATTAGAGCCATTGTGGGTAACATGTGCAGCCGTTACAGTGTGTGGCTCTGCAAGTTACCAGAGAAAGTGACCGAAGGACAGAATTCCGGCTCACATCTGACTGCCAGTGGCATCAAGGGAATTTACAATGGACCAGCTTTCATTATCCTGTGGCATCACCTTCTAAGATCGGAGATGTGTCCCAATACTTTTTGTTTTCCTTAAAGATAAAAATTATTAAATAGCATCCATGAACTTATAACCACCTTTCCTGACTATTTATACATAAGGTTTTCCAATCATGTCAACTCTTAGGGTCATGAATGCTGTAAATGGACAATGCTGCTGAATAACACAATGCCTCCTTTTGTTTATCCAAAAACTGAATCAAGATTCCAGAAGTACCTCTAAATTAAGCTTTTCTTCTATTTGATGTCTGAGTTAAAAGTCAGTGTATTTTATCTTTTTTAATTTACTTATTTATTTTCAAATAAATTTGTATTGTTCAATATCCAAAAGACAAAAAAGATGTACTATGGTTATTTTCCCCTCCCCCACCAGTTCCCCTTTTAACAACCAACTAATATTACTAAATTCTTGGGCATCCTTACAGATATAGTGTATGCATTTATAAGCAAATGCCTATATATTTCCCCCTTTGTTTATATAAATACTAGCATACTATAAATAGTGTTCTGCACCTTGCTTTTTCGTTAAGTATATTTTGGCAATAATTTCCTGTCAGTACCTAAAGAACTCCCTTATTCTCTTTTATGACTGTGTAATATTCTATTGTATAAATAAATGTATAAATAAATATTCTATTGTATAAATAAATAAACCATAAGTTACCTAACCATTTCCCTACTGATTTAGGTGGTTTCTGATCTTTTGTAATTATAAATGATGCTACGATGAATTAACGTTTAACAACATTGCATAAACCATTTTACATATGTTCAAAGCTATTTATAGATAAATGTCTAAAAGTGAAATTTTAGGTCAAAGGGTACGTATTTATAATTTTGATAGATTGCCTTCCTTAGAACACCAATTACACTTCCTCTGGTGATGTAGGAGAACGTTTGTTCCCCTCCACCCATCTTCCCTATGCGTTTGTAATCAGACATTTATATCTTTGCAAATCTCATAGGTTAAAAAAAATGATATCATATATTTGCATTTCTTTTCATGTAAATGAGGTTGAGCATCTTTTCATATGTTTTAAGAGCCAGTTTTCTTTTCTATTTCTGTATTTCCTTTGCCCAATTTGATGGGGTTTTTTTCTTATCGATTTGTGGGAGCTCTTTTTATCATAGGGATATAAGCCTTTTATTTGTCATAGAAATATCAAATATTTTCTTGCAGTTTGTCTTTTGACTTTATGATGGTTTTTATTATGAAGAAAAAAGTTATTTCCTTTTTCTATAATTGAGTTTATTAATCTTTTCATTCATAGTTTTTAGTGCTCAAGTCATACTTAGAAAGGTTTTCCCAGCTCCAAAATTTTAAAAATTTTCTAAAGTTTCCTTTATTGTTTTTATGATCTTCAATTTTAGATTTTTTTATTTGAAAACATTGATTTTTTTTTTCCTTCTCAATAATTACAGTTCCAAATTTAAGGATCCCAGTGATTAGTTTGTCCTCAGGCAGAAGTCCCACAGAGTTCCTAATTGACTAACTTGCTTGCCTTTTTCAGGACTTGAGGGTAGTTTTCTTAAGATGGACAGCTAACCCTACCCTAAGTATTTCACATGTTAAGGTACAATTCACTGTCATTCAATCAAGTATCCATGGGGTTGGCCAGAAAGTTCGTTCGGATTTTTCCATAAGATGTTACAGAAAAACCCAAATCAACCTTTTGGCCAACCCAATACAAACCAGGGGCTACTTGGTGTATGTAAGATTCAATCCTTATTTTTCAGGTATTAAAACAAGTTAATTAACTGATATCATGGTATCACTAAGTGATTGAACATTGGTTCCAATTTTCTTAGTCCTCAGACAAAAAGCAAAAGATTTCCTTAATTCGGATATAATCCCCAGTGTTTGTTCCAGCTAGAGGGAGAAACATCTGCTGCTGAGACAAAGCCATTTATGAATGACATGCTACAGCTGTTGGATCAGGAAGTATATAGGCAAGGCACATGCTGCTTAATGGTGACTGGAGTGCTGTGCTGAGTAGGACATGTTGGGAGCCAGCAGGAAGGCGAACCATGATCATTAGTGATGTCTGCATTGGGTTTTAGAGGGGTGAAGTGACAGTACGCGTGCCATTCAATTATATTCAATACCTGAGTTATTTGGTCCTGGCCTTTATCTACAGCCCCATCTCCAACCAAAAATAGGACTGTCTAATATCACAACTCCCGGGGACCCCATTCATTGGGGTCGCGTTCTAAGGCATGACACTCATAGGAAATCGGCGTAAATGGTGCTACCCGATGCTGTAGAACATGATATTAACTAAAGCTTTGCTTAACCTTATGTGCCTACTACCTAAAACTGATACCTACATTTCTCTGCAGGTCTGCTCCATTCTTATTTTTATTACCAACCAGCTTCCTCTCCTTTACCAGTCAAGTGACAAAACGTGTCCATCAGAAGCCCCCCAAGTTTTCCATCTTGAAGTTCAAGCACCCAGACCAAGACTGACTTCTCTTTCTCAGTTCAACTTCCAAAGTCCCAGAGAAGGTTTCTGATTGGCCCAGCTTGGGTCTAGAACCAACCTCTGGACCAATCAACTGTGAGGAGTCGTCTGGATCTCACTTTACTAACATGCAAACTATCACAGTAACTCCGTGGATGGAACATAAAGGAGAAAAGTTTCAGGAACGGGATTCTTCTTTCAGAAAACAATAAATATATGTTTCATAAATAGATTCTTCTAAGGCAGAGTCCATGGATTATTTATCTCTGGTCACTTTATAAAACTTGCATGTAATTGGGGTCCCTCATATATGTTATTGAAGGACAAGGCACCTTTTGTTGAATGATGAATGCATGAATATTGGTATAGTCCCCATTTTAATGAAGTTAGCTTGGAGAATTATATCGCCTAGAGAAATATATACATTACAGTGATCAACTAGAATTTAAGAGTTTGGTTATAAACAAAACTTTTTCCACTACATGAAGGACTTCAAATGGAATATTATAAGAAATGCAGGTGATATGGTGGAATAAAACAAGCTTTTACTTTGGAACAAACAGACCACACAAGCTATGTGATCTCTGTTAACTTGCTTAACCTTTCTGAGCCTGTGTATTCATGTCATCTGCAGCATGAAGTTGTTATGGGGCATAAATCAATAAGGAGTGTCAAATGTCTAACATAGCTATTGGATTTTCAAGAAATGTTCGTTATATTTTCTTTCTGTACTAATTGACTGATTGATCTCGGTCTTTGCTGGAGTTACTTCTCAATTTTCCAGCTATCTTATATGTCTGCATGTCATCCCATTTGACTCTACCATTGCTGATTTTTTACACGATAGGCTCCGAGAGGCCAAAAATTATGTCTATATAACTCACTCTTTGTAAAGAATACTAAGAAGAAACCTGACTGTGCTTGGGAATTGTAAACATGCTATTTGATGGTAACAGTACCTGGATTACTGAAACAACCTTCTCACTGATCTCCTCACAGATGCCTTTCAATCCATTCTCTACACAGTCAGATTTAAATAAAAGATTTTAAAATCAAAATCATATTATATTTCTCTACTTCTTAAAAGGCTTCAAAGGCTTCCCATTGGTCTTAGTATAAATCCAAACTCCTTAACATGGCCACAAAACTCTGTGTGGATTAGCCTCTGTCTCTGAGCCTCATTGCTCCTCCTCAATCTCTGAGCCCCAGCCACAGGGCCTTTGCACATGCTGCTTCCTCTGCCTGGAATGTCCTTCTCTTCCCCTTCCCATTCACCTAACTCACTCCTCATTCAGTTTAGCTCCTCAGGAAAACTTTTCCTAACTCCATCTGATCTAAATTAGGTCCCCTTCATAGCCCTGAGTAGCTATAGCCCTTTTCTTGTGTAGCACTTGACACTATTGTAATTTACATGAATTTATATGATTATCTGATTATGTTTGTCACTACTAAATGGTCCACTCCATGAAAACAGGCATTACGTCTGTTTTTGCTCACCATATTTCTCCCCTGTCTAGCACAGTTACCCAATATATAGCAGACGTGCAGAAAATGTTGGTTGAATAAATGAATGTTAAACAATAAAGATGACCAAGAATGTAGTTACTTATTGCCACATAACAAATTAAAACACAGTAGCTAAAACCAACAATAATCATTTTAAAAATTCTCCATTATGGTTTATTACAGTATACTGAATATAATTTCCTGTGCTATAGAGTAGGCCCTTGTTGTTCATCAATTTTATATACAGTAGTGTGTATCTGTTAATCCCAAACTCTTAATATATCCTTCTCCCACCCCCTTTCCCCTTTGGTAACCACAAGCTTGTTTTCTATGTTTATGAGTCTGTTTCTGCTTTGTAAATAAGTTCATTTGCATCATATTCTAGATTCTACATATAAGTGATATCTATGGTATTTGTCTTTCTCTTTCTGACTTATTTCACTTAATATGATAATCTCTAGCTCCAACCATGTTGTTGCAAATGGCATTATTTAATTCTTCTTTATGGCTGAGTAATATTCCATTGAGTATGTATACCACATCTTCTTTATCCATTCATCTGTCGATAGACATTTAGGTTGTCTCCACGTCTTGGCTATTGTGAATAGTGCTGCTATGAACATTGGGGTGCATGTATCTTTTCGAATTATGGTTTTACCCAGATATATGCCCAAGAGTGGAAAGGCAGGATCATATGGTGGTTCTATTTTTAGTTTTCGGAGGAACCTCCACACTGTTTTCCACAGTGGCTGCACCACCTTACATTCCCACCAACAGTGTAGGAAGGTTCCCGTTTCTCCACACACTCTCAAGCATTTATTTGTAGACTTTTTAATGATGGCCATTCTGACTGGTGTGAGATGGTACCTCATTGTAGTTTTGATTTGCATTTCTCTAATAATTAGCGATGTTGAGCATCTACTCATGTGCCTATTGGCCATCTGTATGTCTTCTTTGGAGAAATGTCTATTTGTCTATTTGGGTCTTCTGCCCATTTTTGATTGGGTTGTTTGTTTTTAAAACTATAATAATCATTTATTATCTTTCACAATTATCTTTATTATCTTTCACAATTCATGTGGGTGAGGAATTTGGTGGTGACTTATTGAGTACATGTATATATATATATTTTTTGCGGTACGTGGGCCTCTCACTGTTGTGGCCTCTCCCGTTGTGGAGCACAGGCTCCGGACACGCAGGCTCAGCGGCCATGGCCCACGGGCCCAGCCGCTCCGCGGCATATGGGATCTTCCTGGACCGGGGCACGAACCCGTGTCCCATGAATCGGCAGGCGGACTCTCAACCACTGCGCCACCAGGGAAGCCCTATTGAGTATATTTTGCTTTGAGTCTTTTATGAAGTTGTAGTCAAATATAAGCAGCGCTACAGTCATCTGAAGGATTGTCTGTGGCTGGACATCTCCTTCCAAGGTGGCTCCCTCACAAGGCTGGCAAGTTTTTGTTGACACTTGGCAAGAAGCCTCAGTTCTTCTCCATATGGGCTTCAGAGCAGGGCTTCCTGAGTGTCCTCATGACATGGCAGCTGGTTTCCACCAGAGAAAACTGTCCAAGTGTGCAAGGCAAGAGCTGCAATTTTATGACCTAACATTGGAAGTCACATACAGTCATGCCCTCTGGTGGTCTCATGGGTCAGCTCTGACTCATTGTGAGGCTGCACAAGGACGTGAATACCAGGAGGTTTGGATGATTGGAAGCCATCTTGGGGGCTGGTTACCACAAATACATCTTTCCAACATTCACATTTGAAGACCCCCAATGTATGAAACATTTGTACAAAGAGGCGGGGCATCATTCCCCAAGGCATCTCTACCTTCCCTGGAAATACCCTTGTTTTCCAAATTCAGAAACGCTAGTGAAAGTCTTAAAAGGTGACCTTCTCACACAGGTAGAGTAAATTAACAAGGTACTGCCCCCTCCCCCAAAGACTCCGCCCCATTTGAGTGAGTAGGAGGTCACGTTCGTTTCCCTACTGTATCACTTCAAAACTTATCACAAAACTGAGAGGCTGAAAACGGCACACATTTATCATCTCACAGTTGCTGTGGGTCGAGAATTTGGACACAACTTAGCTGGGTCCTCTGGCTCAGGGTCTTTCTCAAGGCGTAGGGCTTGGAGGTGCACTCAGCTCAAAGTTCAACTAAGGGGGGGATCGGTTTTGCACATGTTGTTGGATTAAGGGCCTCAGTTTCTCACGGGCTGTTGCCCAGAGGCTGTCCTTTTGGCCACACTGGTCTCTCAGTCATGTAGCTCACAACATGGCAGCCGACTTCATCAGAGTGGGTGAGTGAGAGAGGATGAGACAGTGCTAGCAAGACGGAAACACAGCCTCTGTCACCTAATCTTGGACGGGACATCCCATCACTTTTGTGGTATTCTTTTTTTTTTTCTTTTCATGTTTTTTCAGTTTTTAAAAATTTTTTTATTCCTCCTTTTTATTTTAGTTATTACTGGCTTATTTTATTTGCTGTGTTCTGTTCACTAGAAGCAAGCCAGTAGGTCCAGCACACATTCAGGGAGAGAGGATTGCACACGGGTGTGAACATCAGGAAGCCGGGATCATGGGGGTCACTGGCTGCTTCCTACACCCACCAGCTCCCTGACTGAAGGAGAGTCTCTGGGCCCAGCAGAGACTTTCACTGCACACTCCACCCCAGTTTTACTATTTCCCTCCCCTTGGGACCCGTTCTGTAGATAGACTAACCTGGAGTTTCTGGAAGCAGTCATGGGAAAAATTCTGTCCTCTCACCAGCATTAAGACTTCTTCCTTTATCTTAAAAGAACAAAAAAATAGCTTTTCATATTTCAAAAGTAATACAAGCTCGTTGTGAAATTACAACAATCCCAAAATATAAAAGTTATAAATAAAAGTCCCCTAGCATTTCTCCCATATCCCAGAGATGACCAGTGTTAATCCTGCAGTCTCTCCCTTTTTCCAATACATGTGCTAATATCATATTCTTATTAATTTATCAAAAAGGTATGAAACTCTTCTGTAGGTTTTTGTTTTGTCTGTGTTGCTTTATTTGTAGTAGCTTGGCCATATTTCATTATCAGCACATGTAGATCGACCTCATTCTATTCCTGTACACATATATCATAATTTACCTAAGCACCTCCCTGTTGGTGGTGGCGTAGCTTTAAAAAAATTCTTACCTATTATACTCATTATAAACATTGCTGCAATGTGTATATGTGCTGCGGGGGAAGGGGGTATTTGCACATTTGCATATTTCCGCAGAACAGATTTCTTGAAGTGGAATGCCGAATAAAAGTGTATCACAAGTATATCCCAAGGTGCTCTCCAGAAAGGTTGTACCAATTTCAACTTTTCCAGAGCTGACTGTGAGCATCTTTCAGAGTAAAGTCCCTGGAGGAATTGGTCTGTTGCCTTATGAGGGGACCCAAGATCCTGTTAATTGTGGGAACATCTAAAAGCAGTAGAGAAAACTTATCAAACGTCATGGATGAAATCAAAAAACCTCAGATCTATTCTCAGCTGATAGCCTAGTCCTGATTCTGCTTCGTGGCTCTGTGCTAGTACTTGACCAGGGAATGCAGCTGTGTGGGCCTCACCCATAGCTCAGCCCACACCACAAGCAGGGTGACGCTGAGATGCTCCCAGAAGACGTAGTTCCTCATCCTGGGCAAGACATTCACATGACTGATACGTCTAGAATAGACCCACTGATTCTCCCATCTGGGGCTTTGCAGAGGTCGGTCGGTGACAAGTTCCTTCCCCAGCAGGTTGAGAGGACCCTGCAGGGCCTCTGGGTTGGGAAGTTTCCTTGATGGAGCCTTTCTGACCCAGCAATCTGAGCTGGGGCGGAAGGAACTGAGGAATTCAAAAGCCACAAACCCCTATAAACAGCTGGCACCCAAAGTCAGACCATTTTGTGCACAAATTCAGGCTGTATTTGTCCCAGTTGCACGACTACACTCATGATCTCCCATGAAAAGGAAGCAGCACTCTGGTGGTGATGACACACACAGGTAATCATTCACTTAGCTATACACTTAGCATGTGTGCATTTGACTACTTGTAAATTATATTTCAAAAAGAGAGAAGGGAAGGAAGGAGGGAGGGAGCATGAAAGAGAAAGAAGAAAGGAAAGAGAAGGGAAGGGAGGGACAATAGGGGACAGGGTCCCACATCTGCCCATCCAAGCACACCTTGCCTCAGGTTGCTGGGAGAGCGAGGACCTGTGAGCCCTGTGCCCCGAGTTCCAGCCTGGACTGAGTGAGAATGAGCCGCTGGTGTGGCCCTGAGCCCTTTGCTCAACAATGGGGCATCCACTGTTGAGAGTCAATAGTAGAAGGGGTGGAGCTTTAAAGAAGAGCTTCTCTGCAATAACAACTGCGATGATGATGATGTAATAGTGTGAAGTGTTAATGGAGGATCATGTCCCTCACCCTCCCTTTCATTTTGTGACCTTCCCCCAGATTCTTGTGGAGAAATAAGAGGCTGCCATTTGTCTCAGAGGAGAATTGTCATGGTGGAGCCAGAGAAGAAAGACAACAAATTTTGGGCTTTTAAATTCAAAAGCAATGGTCCTAAGTAACACTGAAAGATAGGGTGGAGGGATGGAGAATGTTTGCAGGGGCGGTCTCCTCTGCTGTCCACCGTCCTCCCCCTTCCAAACCCTCTCCCCTGCTACCACTCTCCCCACCCCTGAAAAGATAAAAAAGGGAGAGACCAGTTGGATGGGTACCGATAAGAGAGACGCTGAAGGCCAAGCAAGCCAGAAGTAGCTAGTTTCAAAAAGGAGGGAATGACAGATGCCTAGAAAAGTTTGGAAATTTCAGAGTAGGGAAATTTGAGTAGGTTTAAACTTGAAGTGTTTGAGTATGCCTGGAACTGAATGAGATTATGTTTTCTGCCACCAGAAGAAAAAGAGAGGCAAAAATAGAAAGTTTGGAAAAATACAGACTTTTTTGGCATATCCCTATTGGTGGGAAAATGAATATTTGCCACAAAAGTACAGTTTTTTGGAGTGAATTTTTTGCTTGTCTTCTGCATCACCCTTATGGCAAAGATGCATTTTCCAAGCCTAGAAATCACATATGTGCCCTAACTAGGACAGATAAGAAGAGAAAAGGAAAAAAAAGAAAAAAGAAAGGATAGTTACAGCTCAGCTCTTGTCCTCTGGAGATTTTCATCCAGAATGTCAGTTCAGACACCGAATGGGAAAATAGAAGGCACTAGATTTCCCTTCTACCCTTGCCAAGAAATATATGTTTCCCAGGCCCCTGTGCCCAGGCCTGCCAGACCAAATTAGGAAAAGAGAACCACATGACAATGAGCCTCATTTCACAGCCCCTTTTACTTCCTCATTCCTGAATATGACTCAAGAGACACCCAGGAACTGGGTGAGGGAGAAAGGGTTCGGGTTATTGAGAACTGCCTGATGGCCAGCTATGGGTCAAGCAAAAAGAGATACTATGAATAAGGGCTTCTGCAGCCTGGATCCATCACCTGGACATGTGGACCCCCCTCCCCCTCGTCTCCCCACATCCCAGCCTAACACCGGCCTCCAATAGAAGTGGAAACATCCCCCTGATTCACCCTTGACATGGGGGTTTCAGTCCTAAGAGTTAAACTGGAGGACCAATTGGCTAAAGGTAACAGGTGAGACTTTTTCAAGTTCACAGGGAGCAAAAGAACCTAAGAGTCTATGGTTTTATCTCCCCAAATGGGTTCTTGGTGAACAGAAGCATGGAGTGCAGCTGAAGTGCAGAAACCCCACCTTGGGTGCTTAAATGGTTGGGAAATAGTTTCTGAAGCAAGAGCAATAATGATAACAATCAAACACTAGCTCGAGATTTTGCAAACTGGTCCCAGAGGAATCATTTGAGGTCTAGACAGGTGTTGTAGTTTCACACGTTATAAAAAGCACAGAGTATCTTATTGAAAGCTAGGTGGCTGAAAGACAGCCAAAAGAGAAACAGGAATCCCTTTTGTTCATGGGAGATGGCACGTCAGAACAACCAATCTACTGAAACACTTGAATTCTGGAGGAAAGAAGAATTAATTTGAATACATTTGTTCAAAGTCCTAAGAACTTAAGCATAAGCCATTTCCATCTTCTGGGAATGGCTTCCAGCCCACACACCGTAGAGCATATTTTCAGCTGAACTGGTATTGTCCCTGTTGTTTTACTCTGGTTCTTCTTATCAGCCCCAATCACATGTAGGGTTTTTTAGGACAAGGACCTTGAGCCAGCCTTTGCTTAAGAGGGCACTAGCGTATGCAGATTGGGAAGCTTGATATCAACCTTGGATTTCAATTCTCCATTTCTTTTTCACAGTTAAAACGACAAGTATGAAGATTGATAAGAAAATGATCACAATGTAGTTTAGAAAACAGCTAATTCAGGGGTGTGACAGTTTGCCTGAACAAAATGAAAGTGAATTGCTGGTCCTTGAATTGCTAAATTTAAAACGTGAACATTTGACTTAAAAACATAACCAAGAGCCAATTTGTTAATCATTGTCCTGGAATTGAGCAAAAGAATCTGATTTTTAAAGCTAACTTCATGGTCAACTAAACACATTTTTTTATTCCTCAGAACTCATCTTGAAAGAAAAAAAAAAAAAAGCCCTCTGCAAAAGGAGACTTCCTGTTTGTCACCTGTTCAGTGCTTTTCCTCAGACCTGGTAAGCAGGGCGCTGCTGGATTTCAGGTCTTCCAGCTGGTACCCAGGTTGCTACGGAGATCCAAGGAGCAGAATCCAGAGTGAGCGGTTATCCGAAGAGTCCCTGCTTGGGGCCTGAAAACAGCTCAGTGGGAGCTTCAGCAGATGACACAGATTTCTCCAGAGTTAAAATGAAAGCCCTGGGGAGCAAGGATTCACCTGCTTCTTTCTCCAGGCAGAGAAAATCTAGTTGTTTAAGAGTCTGTCTCAAGAGATAAGCATTGGTGAGAGGATGGAAAAAAAGGGATCCCTTGTGCACTGTTGGTGGGGATATAAATAGTTTAGCCACTATGGAAAAACTGTAGAGGTTGCTCAAAATATTAAATATAGGACCATATGCTGCAGCAATACCATATCCTGGTATATAGCAAAAGGAAATAAAAACAAGGTATCAAAAAAAAAAAAAGAGTCTGTCTCCATTTGACTTTAGCAAATGACCTCAGCAGTCCTTTATTCGTAGTTTCACAAATCACCTCAGGAAAGCTAGGAGTCACCAAATCTCCAGTCCCGCCAGCAGGGACAATCTGCTTCCTACCCACCTCTCTATCAAGGTGCCCCAGCCGGAGCCAGAGAAGAATTCTAGACCATTCAAGGGGCCCCTGTGGGATCGGAGAAGGCACCTGGGCCCAGGGCAATGGCTAAGGGAATGGACGGAGCTGCAGGCCCGGTTTCCTTCAGCTAAAATGTGCTCGAGGCTGAGGCCCACAGGGCCAGGTCCCTGGGAGGCACAAGCACCGTGAGGAAGAGCACAGGACTCTGCCAGGGAGTCCAAATTCCAGATTTCTCAGACATTTGTTATATTTCTGGCTATTTTTGTATTTGTTTTGGTATTCATTTACCTTTATAGAAATTTGTTTGAGGTCACAGAGGAAACATTTCCAGTATATTTAGGCTTTTAAGCAGCTAGGAAGTCAAGGCCGTGTTGCAGAATCCCCTAGTGGCCCGTGTGCTGATGGGAGACCCCGCCTCTCCCACTCCCAGCCTCCTCTTGCCCAGCTGCTGAGATGTTGGTGGGGATCTCAGATTTATGCCCTGCAGAGACAACATGGCCAGAAGCATCCTTTGAGACTTATTTGTACAAAGCTGTGGGAGCAGATGGATGACCTCTCCATCTCCTCCATTTCCTGCCGCAGCCACCGGTGCCACCGGCCTCCCAGCCACTCTGGCTGGAAACACCAGGGGCTTCTTTTTATTTTTCCAGTACGCGGGCCTTTCACTGTTGTGGCCTCTCCCGTTGCGGAGCACAGGCTCCGGACGCGCAGGCTCAGCGGCCATGGCTCACGGTCCCAGCCGCTCCGCGGCATGTGGGATCCTCCCGGACCGGGGCACGAACCCGTGTCCCCTGCGTCGGCAGGCGGATTCTCAACCACTGCGCCACCAGGGAAGCCCCACCAAGGGCTTCTTTATCTTTGATTCCTCTTCCTCTTTATCTCCATGTTATTTTTTTGCTAAACTTTATCTTCAGTTATTGACAAGGCTTTAGGGATCATACTCACAAAATCTTTCAGCTCCTGGGACTTAATGAATCTGGATTAAATAACTGGAATTTCTTCGGAGCAGCTATATCAGCTTCCTCACCATCCTCAGTCTGGGTCTTCATTCCCTGTGTAACTCAGGAACAAAGTGGAAGCTGAGGAGTTCTGCTTTTTGACATCTGTTGATATGACGCCATCTGCACCGAGCAGCGACCCTCCCTGCTCTTCCTCTGACACTAAGAGCTCTTTGTGTTGTCCTTGGTGTTTTGTGCGGCCTCAGCTCACTCTGGGCTTCAGCTTTCCCTGTACTCTGCCTTTGATCTCTGCCCAGCCTGTGGATTCCTTCTTGGTCAGGAGCCACATCTTCTATCATTTGTGCGTGTCTGGCCCCCTGAGAGAATTCCCTGGGGTGGGGGGGTCCCGTTGCCTCTCCATTTCCTTTATCTCTAGGATCCCTGTGTCCCAGGTGGCTGTGTTCACCTCTGAGAATCTCCCATCTCTCTTTAGCAATCTGTTGTTTTAGAGTCCTGGGCTGGGGCACACATCTAGTTTTCATTTTTTATTGGCCAAGGCTCTTTTTAGTTTTCATTTTTAAAAAATGTTTGATATGCAACAAAACTAAGTAGAGCAAACTGAAGCAAACCCTGAAATTTAGTATAAGGGCCTACAAATGTCCCTCAGAGGATAAGGGTGGGAATTCAGATGGGCCTCAGGAAAAGCTGGAATCAGAGGCTGGAAGGTAACTGAGTTTCACTGTCTCTGTGTCCCTAAAGAAGGAGGAGGAAGAGCACAGCCTAATAGGGATTTACTCCCCATTCATTCATTCAGCAAATATTTATCATATGTCTGGACACCGTTTTAGTTGTTAGAGACACTTACAGGGGAAGCAAAAGAGAATCTTTAAGAATTATGTTTTGCTAAATGGGAGGTACATTTCTAACTCTCCCGTACCCCTCCCCTTTTTTTGTATTATGAGGTGGTCAGTTTCTAAACCTTCTACACCAGTCACTGTCTTGCTTAAAACAGCATTTCCCCTTAAACACTTACTGACTTAGGAATATGCTTACCTGCGGGGAATATGCTGAAGAAACACATAAATGAATTATCCAGAGACCTGACCTTCCTGGAGAGAAAGACCCATGGAGTATTTAAGCACATCCAGGAAAGATGCAAACCACATTCCTGGCTCTGTGGCTAGATCACATTTAGTGATGGATACTGTGGAGAGAAGACACAGGACTGAAAAGGCCAATTGCATCCAAAAAGAGAAAGTTACAAAATGTGTAGGACTAGAATTAAATCAGATTAGCCATAATTATTTTTTTAATTTTAGATCCGTGCATATTGATTAAGTTTTTGATGTAAGATGTTAGATGCTCGGTTCTGTGGAAAACGTAAAGAAATGGAAAGCATACTCCATGCTTTCAAAGAGCTTACAGGTCTTCCCTGGTGGCGCAGTGGTTGAGAGTCCGCCTGCCGATGCAGGGGACACGGGTTCGTGCCCAGGTCCGGGAAGATCCCACATGCCGCGGAGCCGGTGGGTCCATGAGCCATGTGCGCCTCCGGAGCCTGTGCTTCTCAACGGGAGAGGCCACAACAGTGAGAGACCCGCGTACCGCAAAAAAAAAAAAAAAAAAAAAAAAAAAGAGCTTACAGCTAGCTGAAAAGATGAGGTAGAAAACAGATAATGTAACATAAAGTGCTTGTGTTTTGACGTTTGATTATAAACGCTATAGGAATTCAGAAAAATGAAAATTGTTGAGACTAAATTAGGTAAGGAAAGGCTTCATGTAGAAGAGTCTAAGCTCGGCTTTTAAAGAAGGGCAGGATTCATATGTGCAGAAAAAGTCAAAGAGCCATTTTATAGTGAGGAGCCAATGTCTTTACTTGTCCTACTCAGGGTTCAGAGCTTCAGTCATTATGTGTTCCTTCATTAATTCATTCATCAAACTTTTACTGAGTGCCCAGCAATGTAGGTGCTAGATATATTGTGTATAAGGATTCATGTAACCAACCAAACTAAATCGTTACAGTGACTTTAAAAGCACCTTCCACACCATTGATATTTAGCACATATTTTGAGAGTCTACCATGTGATAGGCATGAAAGATAAGACTGGAAAAATCAGATGTAGGTCCTGTACTCCTGGAGCTTACAGTCTAGTTGGGAAACAGTCACTTAAACGAGTAATTACAATCATGAGCAGTTGAACACGTGGTTGGAGAGGTGGAGAGAGGCTGCTCTGAGGGCACAGGGCAGGAGTAACTAACCTCACTGGTGGGTCAGGGAAGGAGAAGACTGTAACCCTGTAGTTGTGGTAGGCAGAATTCTAAGATGACCCTCAGTCCTAAGATGCCCTTGTGTAATCCCCTCCCCTTGTGTGGGCAGGAACTATGACTTGCTTCTCACCCACAGACTATGGCAAGAGTGAAAGGACTTTGCAGAAGTAATCGAGATCCCTAAACAGCTGATTTTAATCAAAAGAGAGATTATTTTGGGTGGGCCTCACCTAATCAAGCAGGCCCTTTAAAAAAGGGTCTAGAGATCAGAGACTCAGTGAAGGAGAGACCCTCTCTCCATTGCTGGTCTTGAAGAGGTAAGCTTCATAAACTCTATAGCTACAAGGCAATGCATTCTGCCAACAACATGAGGGAGCTTAGGAGAAGGTTCTTCCCCAGTCAGGCTTCCAGGTGAGATACAGCCTAGCCAACACCTTGATCTCAGCCTCCTGAGACCCTGAGCAGAGGACGCAGCTGGGCCATGCCTGGACTCCTGCCCCACAAAAACTGTCAGAGTAAACATGTATTATTTGAAGCCACTAAGTTTGTGGTGATTTGTTATGCAGCAATAGAAAATGAACACAATGGTAGACTAGACAGGACTAACTTGTGATGTCTTCCTGGAGAAGGAAGACCTTTAGCACTGAGGTTTTCAACTAGCATTGCTGAATAAGGAGACCCATGCTGAGTTTTCTGCATCCTCCCTGTGAAATCCAGGCCCAGTTTATATGTAATAAACAACGTCTCCCTGCCCACTTCCTGAGCATTTCCTGTCTGGTACGCTTGAGGACACAGAAAGTATTCCTGGCTGTTATAAAGGTACCTCACTTTATGCAAATAAGGTGATACTGCCAAACTCCATAAAATTCTGTTTTTTTCAAGTAGGGTTGTATTTGCTTAATTTTTGTTCATTTGCTCAATTAACAAGGGTTCATTGAACTCTTGCTCAATTAACAAGAGCACCTGTCATGTGCCTAGAACATGAAAGAATGAGGGAAAACTGAGACCTGGTCCCACCCTTTGAGGAGTTTGAGAGAGAAGCTTCATGTAGTAGAAGTTAAAGAATGATGAAACGCTGAGCTCTAAAAGTGGGGAGGAGGACATTATTGCTGAGTGCCAAGGAATAATGAGAATAATAAGTGATTTCACAGGCTCCTCCCTCAGAAAAAGGAAAGCATTAAGAATGTTCTTAGCTTCCCACTGAATGAACGCATCCAACAGGGGCTTGTGATCTGTTAGCAAAGCAAACGTAAATCTTGCTTATACAGAATTTTGAAATAATTTTGAAGACTTTGAGATATCCAACCAGTGTCTTAACAAAATTTATTCAATAAATATTTTCTGGGGGACTTCCCTGGTGGTCCAGTGGCTAAGACTCTGCCCTCCCGGTCCAGGGTACCCGGGCTTGATCCCTGCTCAGGGAACTAGATCCCACATGGTGCAACTAAAAGATCCCTCATGCCGCAACTAAAGATCCTGCATGTGGCAACGAAGATCCTGTGTGCCGCAACTAAGGCCCAGCACAGACAAATAACTATTAAAAATAAATAAAACGTTTTTGTTTATTTATTTATTTATTTATTTATGTCTCTTATTAGTCAACCATTTTACACACATCAGTGTATACATGTCAATCCCAATCTCCCCCCAAAAAATGTTTTCTGAACACCTACTATATCAAGTGCTTTGCCAGGAATCGAGAATACAGTGGTATATCTGTTAGAATGTTTTAAACGATAAAGAACAGAAAACACTATTCAAACGGCTTAAACAATAAACGGATTTATTATTTCATCAACAAAGAAATCCTGAGTAGATTAGCTCCAAGATTGGTTAATTTAGGAGCTCATCAACATAATTAAGGATCCAGGTTCTTCTTAGTTTTTTCTTCTCTTTTCCTTAAGACAATGGCTTGCTCTTAGCTGGCTCTCCTGATGGTCATAAGATAGCTGCCACTGTTCCAGGCACATCTTCACACTACTGTCTAGGAGAGAAACAAGTACTGTTTCTTCCCATGTGTCCTTTTTTATCAGTCAGGAAAAAAATCTTTCCCAGAGATCCTCAGCAGACTTCCCCTGATGTCTTATTAACTAGAATTCTATCTCACACCTGTGGCTAAACCAGTCAGAACCCCAGTCCCTGGGGCAGTGTTGGGAGTTCACCTCTCCTGAAGCACATGGCCTCCAGAGAGCAGAGACTTGAACAAAACGGGGGTTCTACCAAAGGAAAAAAGGGGAATGAAGAGGGCCTGAGAAGGCCATCTACTAACAGTATCCATGACTGTTGTAATCAAAGACAGCAGTACTGACTGTTTCTGCATTGGGGTGCAGAAACAATCTCACAGATGATATACAATTACAAATTGTGACAAATGTCATGAGCTGAGAGAACCGTGTGTTGTGAGGGAGAAAGCAGGGTGATCACAGGGAGGTCATGGATCAAGAAAGGGCATCCAGGGCTTCCCTGGTGGCGCAGTGGTTGGGAATCTGCCTGCCAATGCAGGAGACGCAGGTTCGTGCCCCGGTCCGGGAAGATCCCACATGCCGCGGAGCGGCTGCGCCCGTGAGCCGTGGCCGCTGAGCCTGCGCGTCCGGAGCCTGTGCTCCGCAACGGGAGAGGCCACAACAGTAAGGGGCCCGCGTACCGCAAAAAAAAAAAAAAAAAGAAAGGGCATCCAGAGGAACTGAAAGATGAGTAGGAACCAGCTGGGCAGAGGGTTGGGGGAAAAGCATTCCAGGCAGAGGAAACCATCTGAGAACATGAAAGGAGACTGGTGCCCAGGAGCACTGGAGGGACAGATGGGAAAAGGCGTGGCATGGGGCTGGGGCGTGGAGAGGGT